ATACTCACCACCACCATGAGTGACACAGTGTAAGATACTCACCACACCATGAGTGACACAGTGTAAGATACTCACCACCACCATGAGTGACACAGTGTAAGATACTCACCACCACCATGAGTGACACAGTGTAAGATACTCACCACCACCATGAGTGACACAGTGTAGATACTCACCACCACCATGAGTGACAGAGTGTAAGATACTCACCACCACCATGAGTGACGCAGTGTAAGATACTCACCACCACCATGAGTGACACAGTGTAAGATACTCACCACCACCATGAGTGACACGTGTAAGATACTCACCACCACCATGAGTGACCAGTGTAAGATACTCACCACCACCATGAGTGACACAGTGTAAGATACTCACCACCACCATGAGTGACACAGTGTAAGATACTCACCACCACCATGAGTGACACAGTGTAAGATACTCACCACCACCATGAGTGACACAGTGTAAGATACTCACCACCACCATGAGTGACACAGTGTAAGATACCACCACCACCATGAGTGACACAGTGTAAGATACTCACCACCACCATGAGTGACAGTGTAAGATACTCACCACCACCATGAGTGACACAGTGTAGGATACCACCACCACCATGAGTGACACAGTGTAAGATACTCACCACCACCATGAGTGACACAGTGTAAGATACTCACCACTACCATGAGTGACACAGTGTAGGATACCACCACCACCATGAGTGACACAGTGTAAGATACTCACCACCACCATGAGTGACTCAGTGTAAGATACTCACCACCACCATGAGTGACACAGTGTAAGATACTCACCACCACCATGAGTGACTCAGTGTAAGATACTCACCACCACCATGAGTGACTCAGTGTAAGATACTCACCACCACCATGAGTGACACAGTGTAAGATACTCACCACCACCATGAGTGACTCAGTGTAAGATACCACCACCACCATGAGTGACACAGTGTAAGATACTCACCACCACCATGAGTGACAGTGTAAGATACTCACCACCACCATGAGTGACACAGTGTAAGATACTCACCACCACCATGAGTGACACAGTGTAAGATACTCACCACCACCATGAGTGACACAGTGTAAGATACTCACCACCACCATGAGTGACACAGTGTAAGATACTCACCACCACCATGAGTGACAGTGTAAGATACTCACCACCACCATGAGTGACACAGTGTAAGATACTCACCACCACCATGAGTGACCAGGTGTAAGATACTCACCACCACCATGAGTGACTCAGTGTAAGATACTCACCACCACCATGAGTGACACAGTGTAAGATACTCCCACCACCATGAGTGACACAGTGTAAGATACTCACCACCACCATGAGTGACACAGTGTAAGATACTCACCACCACCATGAGTGACACAGTGTAAGATACTCACCACCACCATGAGTGACACAGTGTAAGATACCACCACCACCATGAGTGACAGTGTAGGATACTCACCACCACCATGAGTGACGCAGTGAAAGATACCACCACCACCACGAGTGACTCAGTGTAAGATACCACCACCACCATGAGTGACACAGTGTAAGATACTCACCACCACCATGAGTGACACAGTGTAGATACCACCACCACCATGAGTGACACAGTGTAAGATACTCACCACCACCATGAGTGACACAGTGTAAGATACCACCACCACCACGAGTGACTCAGTGTAAGATACCACCACCACCATGAGTGACACAGTGTAAGATACCACCACCACCACGAGTGACACAGTGTAAGATACCACCACCACCACGAGTGACACAGTGTAAGATACCACCACCACCATGAGTGACACAGTGTAAGATACCACCACCACCACGAGTGACACAGTGTAAGATACCACCACCACCATGAGTGACACAGTGTAAGATACCACCACCACCACCACCACCACGAGTGACACAGTGTAAGATACCACCACCACCATGAGTGACGCAGTGTAAGATACCACCACCACCACGAGTGACACAGTGTAAGATACCACCACCACCACGAGTGACACAGTGTAAGATACCACCACCACCATGAGTGACACAGTGTAAGATACTCACCACCACCATGAGTGACACAGTGTAAGATACCACCACCACCATGAGTGACACAGTGTAAGATACTCACCACCACGAGTGACACAGTGTAAGATACTCACCACCACCATGAGTGACACAGTGTAAGATACTCACCACCACCATGAGTGACACAGTGTAAGATACCACCACCACCACGAGTGACTCAGTGTAAGATACCACCACCACCATGAGTGACACAGTGTAAGATACTCACCACCACCATGAGTGAAACAGTGTAAGATACTCACCACCACCATGAGTGACACAGTGTAAGATACCACCACCACCATGAGTGACACAGTGTAAGATACTCACCACCACCATGAGTGACACAGTGTAAGATACTCACCACCACCATGAGTGACACAGGGTAAGATACTCACCACCACCATGAGTGACACAGTGTAAGATGCCACCACCACCATGAGTGACACAGGGTAAGATACTCACCACCACCATGAGTGACAGAGTGTAAGATACCACCACCACCACGAGTGACAGAGTGTAAGATACCACCACCACCATGAGTGACGCAGTGTAAGATCCTCACCTCGGGCCCTTAGACAGGATGGGACATTACACAGATGACAACAAGGAAATAAGTGAAATACTGAAATCCCAGTAAGACTCTGTGTTTAGTGAGCCACTAATCAGTCTGAGGATCGACGACCTAAATGATTTCTTCATGAATGAGCCTCAAAACTCCATAAATCAGATTTCCGACATTACCCTAACTCCGATAGATTTTGAAAAAGTCATTAACAACATGCCCATGCACTCAGCCCCAGGTTCAGGTCCAGGGCAACATGGGTTCAGGGCAGGTCGCTCCTGCCTCTCACAACTACTGGATCACTATGATATGGCCTTGGATGCACTGGAAGAAAATCAGAATGCAGATGAAATATACACAGACTTTGCAAAAGCATTTGACAAGTGCGATCATGGCGTAATAGCGCACAAAATACGTGCTAAAGGAATAACTGGCAAAGTGGGGAGATGGATCTTCAACTTCCTAACCAATCGAACACAAAGAGTAGTGGTCAACAGAGTTAAATCGGAGGCTGCCATAGTGAAGAGCTCTGTTCCACAAGGCACAGTACTCGCCCCCATCCTGTTCCTCATATCAGACATAGAGATGTAACCCACAGCACCGTATCATCCTTTGCAGACGATACTAGGATCTGCATGAGGCTGTCATCTATTGAGGACACAGTTAACCTCCAAGAAGATATAAACAGTTTTCCAGTGGGCAACGGAAAACAATATGAAGTTCAGTGAGGACAAATTCCAACTTCTCCGTTACGGAAAACTGGAGGAGATAAAACTAGAACAGAGTATACTACAAACTCTGGCCATACAATAGAGCGGAAAAATAATGTAAGGGACCTGGGAGTAGTAATGTCTGAGGATCTCACTTTCAAGGATCACAACAGTGCCACGATCACAAGTGCCAAGAAAATGATAGGATGAATAATGACAACATTCAAAACGACAGATGCCAAGCCAATGATGATCCTTTTCAAATCAATTGTTCTCTCTAGGCTGGAATACTGCTGTACATTAACATCTCCGTTCAAAGCAGGTGAAATTGCAGATCTAGAGAGCGTACAGAGAACCTCTACTGCACGTAAAAGTTCTGTCAAGCACCTTAACTACTCGTTGTAACGCAGGAGAGAGGGAGATATATCATAATCTACACTTGGAAAATCCTAGAAGGAATGATCCCGATCTACACACAGAAATCACTCCCTGCGAAAATAAGAGACTGGACAGGCGATGCAAAATACCCCCAATTAAAAGTAGGGGCGCCATTGGTACACTACGAGAAAACACCATAAGTGTCCGGGGCCCAAGATTGTTCAACAGCCTCCCACTAAGCATAAGGGGAGTTACCAATAAACCCCTGGCTGCCTTCAAGAGAGAGCTGGACAGATACCTAGTCAGTGCCGGATCAGCCGGGCTGTGGTTCGTACGTTGGACTGCGTGCGGCCAGCAGTAACAGCCTGGTTGATCAGGCCCTGGTCCACCGGGAGGCCTGGTCGTGCACGGACCGGGCCGCGGGGGCGTTGATTCCCGGAATAACCTCCAGGTGAACCACCATGAGTGACACACAGTATAAGATTCTCTCCACCACCATGAGTGACACAGTGTAAGATCCTCAACACCATCATAACTGAACGTGTCAACATATGTATAAACTAGTGTACCACATTCGCCAAAGAAAGATTAAATCATTATTGTAGTACAAATCAGAAGGTTTCGAGTATTTTACGATATTAACAACGAGATCTGTACCCTTTGGAACGAATTTAACGTAATGGTATGATCTTTTTGCTTTCTCTACTAATCTCGCCCCAGGTGTGGCTTGACAATGTTTCAGGACGGACGTGACCGTTGTCATAAGGCTTCTGTTCTAATTACGTGTTTCTGATGAAATATGGGTGAGAGGGAGGGAGGTGAAGGTTGCTGGGAATGTTCTTCATGTCAACGTTGTTGTTATTGTTATTTGGCAGTCACAGGAGTGAAGTCAACTCACGTCTCTTAAGCTAGCAATGTCTGACATGTTAGGTTTTGCCCATATAATACCTGTCCATCTCGGCTTTTTTCAGCAATGTTTAGGCAACCTGGAAACTCTCAAAGTTAAGACATATACTTGCCTCTGAGTCATGATTAGGTCTGAGAGGAATGAGTATATGCTAGCGCTTCCAGATGGTTATCATATATTTGTTTTTATATGGGTTGGTAATGGGTGAAACTCCTTCAGTACGTATATCATTTAGTCCTTCCCACACTTATTGCACATGTGTTATTGTCCGCAGCTTCAGGTATACCAGAAACTAATATTAACCTTGTCACTGGACTACAAATACTCATATTATTTTCTTTTACAGGTACCAGTCTTCAAATGCACGAGAGCTCATAGTGCATGAACCCTGAGGTAGCCAGCCGAAAGACCATAGCTAGGGACACACTAAATACATCAAGTAAGTCCTTTCTGTGCTCCTGCTTGGAAATGTTGGTCCTGTTGTTATATGCATATTTACGGGCACACTGGTCCTGTTGTTCTGTGTTCATACATAGGAAAACTGGTCCTGTTGTTCTGTTAGACCTGTCATTCCTTCGTCCATTATAATCCAATAGAAAATGTGAGGAGATTTGTGAGGGTAATATTATTAATTGAACTGAGCTACAAGAGTCGTAAATGATTGTGCCGCACAGTTCCAGTCACCGTATTACAAAATGGACATAACTGTGCTGTAAAACGTACAGAGAAAGATGACAAAAGTTGATTCCATGTATCAGAAGTCTTTCCTACAAGGATAGAATAAGGGTACTGAACGTGCACTCTCTAGGAAAGTGTAGAATTAGGGAGAATATGATTTATGTGTATAAATGGAAAACATGAATAAATAAAAGGAATGTAAACAAATATATTCAATTAAAGGGAGAAATAAAAAAGGGAAGAAAAGCTAAAATGTCTACTTCAATGACCCTCTTCATCTAATCCCAGAATCCCATGCATATGCAGACGACTGTACACTGACATTCACTTATCCAAGAGAAAAATGCCAGCTGCTCTAGGCTACATGAATCACCGGCTGAGAGCTATATCCGCTTGGGGAAACAGATGGCAGGTAACATTTGCACCTGAGAAAACACAAATGATGATGGTCTCTAGGCACCATGATGGTAATGCCGGTGCAGTAGTAAGTATGAATGGGAGGGTGTTGGTACCTTGGAAAGAAGTTGATATCCTTGGGGTGAAATTTGACTCCAAACTGACCATGAAGAACCACGTTGTAAATCTTGCAAACAAGGCAGCCAGGAAGCTTACAACACTTCACCATATCTTGCATCTGCTTGACAGTAGGGGTTGCAAGATTCGGTATGAGGCACAAGTGCACTCACACCTTGATTATGCTCCACATTCTTGGTTTGCCTTCCCCCCTCTCATTTGCGACTGCTTGAGAAAGTGGAGAACAGAGCAAGACGTCTCATCTCTCGGCTGGGCCCATCCTGGATAGATCTGTCATTTCAGCAGAGCCTTCAACACAGGAGGGATGTGGGTGACCTTACTGTTATGTAAGGTCACCCACATCAGAGACTATTGAGGAAAATTAAGGCACACAGAATAGGAAAAATTTTTTCCTGGGTAGAGGCATTGTTGATAGGCAGCAGAGAATTTGCATAAATGGGGAGAAATTAGAGTGGGGGTGCATCACGAGTGGTGTTCCACAGGAGTCAGTGTTGGGACCTTTGTTGTTCATAATTTATATAAACGACATTGATGAGGGAATAAATAGCGACATAAGCAAGTTTACTGATGACAAATAAATAACACCAAAATAGGTCGCCTAATTCATTCTAATGAGGACATTAGAGCACTCCAAGAAGATTTGAATATGGAAATAAATGGTATAAAATACCGACACAATGGAAATATAAACACAAATGCAGTATAATGTGATCCTTTATTGACAACGTTTCACCCACACAGTGGGCTTTTTCAAGTCACACACGGATCTACCTGGGGTTGGAAGGTACGGGAGTATTTATAGTCATGTTCAGAATGTTGAGGTCAGGTGGAGAATGCTGCATCTGATGATCTACCGGGTGGGGTTATAGAGTCTTGGGTAGCTAGGCAGGGGTATTGGACAAGTTGTGAGTAGACCTTCTGCAGTGTTCTATGTTCTTATATTTTGGGATAGCGATGAAGAAGTTTCTTGGCGAGTGGTTCAGCTATGTTATAGAAGCCATTGTTCTGGTTGAAATTGTTGGTTATGAGATAAGCGATGATTCCAGGATTCTTCGTATTGATGTTGTCTTCTGTGGCTATAAGCCCTTGAGTTTCTGTAGTTAATTAAATGGTTGTGTGAATTGCGATGTTGTACACAGGCATTCCTTGTATCGTCAGTCCTGCTTGCATTTTGGTGTTCTGAAATACGTGTTTGGAGGTCTCTTGATGTTTCGCCCACATAAAAATTTGTTGCAGTCATTACAAGGGATTATGTAGACCCCTGCAGAGGATGGAGGCTTGTCCTTCTACAAACTGGTGATGTCCTTGATGGTCGGGTTGTGGAGGTAGATACTTGGAATGATTTTTTGGCAAAGATGTTTGGAAACATGTTTGGCAATGGAGTTGGTGGGAAGGACTATGTATCTCTTCTCGGCAGTGTCTTCTCTGGGTGTGTTGAAGATGTTTAATGCCCGCCGTCTGCAGTCTCGGGATGAAGTGACGAGGATAGTGGATTTAGAAAATACTTGTTCAATTAAGTGCATTCTTCCTCAAGGAACTCGTTGCTGCAGATTCTGAGTGCACGCAGGAAGAAGCCTATAATTACACCACATTTGGTTTTGGTGTCGTGGTGAGAGTAGAAGTGGAGAAGATCCTTTGGTTGGTGGGTTTTCGATAGACTTTTAAACGAAGTTCCCTGGTCAGCTTTGCAGAGCAGAACATCAAGGAAAGGAAGAGTTTTTGTCGACTTTCTTCAAGTGTGAACTGGATTGAAGGCTCGACCTGGTTGAGCTTGTCTTGGAGAGCTTGAACGTTGAAGCGTTTAGGAGTTATGAGGAGAATGTCGTCAACATAACGGGGCCAGGTACCCGACGAAGGAATAATGGTGGAGAAACGTTCGGCTTCTAGATGTTCCATGTATAGGTTCGCCAGGACTGCACTGAGTGGCGAACCCATGGGTAGTCCAAAAGTCTGCTGAAAGAGGTGATTTTCGAAAGAGAAATATGTAAAGCCAACACATAGTTCAACAAGGTCGATGAAATCGCTGGCTGGAATGGGAAGATCAAGTGAATCGTCAATTTTCCTGCGAAAGAGATCGATGGCTTGTGTAGTAGGTACTTTGGTGAATAGGGAAGTCCCATTCCAGCCAGCGATTTCATCGACCTTGTTGAACTATGTGTTTGGGTTTTACGTGTTTCTCTTTTGAAAATCACCTCTTTCAGCAGACTTTTGGACTACCCATGGTTTTGCCACTCAGTGCAGTCCTGGCGAACCTATACATGGAACATCTAGAAGCCGAACGTTTTTTTTCCACCATTATTCCTTCGTCTGTCACCTGGCTCCGTTATGTTGACGACATTCTCCTCTAACTCCTAAACGCTTCAACGTTCAAGCTCTCCAAAGACAAGCTCAAACCCGGTCGAGCCTTTAATCCAGTTCACACTTGAAGAAGTCGACAACACTCTTCCTTTCCTTGATGTTTGCTCTGCAAAGCTGACCACGGAACTTCGTTTTAAAGTCTATCGAAAACCACCAACCAAAAGGATCTTCTCCACTTCTACTCTCACCACGACACCAAAACCAAACGTGGTTTTAATTATAGGCTTCTTCCTGCGTGCACTCAGAATCTGCAGCAACGAGTTCCTTGAGGAAGAAAAGCACTATAATTGAACAAGTATTTCTAAACTCCACTATCCTCGTCACTTCATCAAGACTGCAGACGGCGGGCATTTAAACATCTTCAACACACCCAGAGAAGACACTGCCGAGAAGAGATACATAGTCCTTCCCACCAACTCCATTGCCAAACATGTTTCCAACATCTTTGCCAAAACATCATTCCAAGTATCTACCTCCACAACCACGACCATCAAGGAAAATCAAACCCGTAGTAGACAGGACAAGCCTCCATCCTTCTGCAGGGGGCTACATAATCCCTTTTATGACTGCAACAAATTATATGTGGGCGAAACATCAAGAGACCTCCAAACACGTATTTCAGAACACCAATATGCAAGCAGGACTGACGATACAAGGAATGCTGTGTACAACATCGCAATTCACACAACCATTATAATTAACTACAGAAACTCAAGACTTATAGCCACAGAAGACAACACTCAATACAGAAGAATCCTGGAATCATCGCTATCTCTATAACCAACAATTTCAACCAGAACAATGGCTTCTATAACATAGCTGAACCACTCGCCAAGAAACTTCTTCATCGCTATCCCACATAAGAAAATAGAACACTGCAGAAGGTCTACTCACAACTTGTCCAATACCCCTGCCTAGCTACCCAAGACTCTGTAACCCCACCCGGTAGATCATCAGATGCAGCATTCTCCACCTGACCTCAACATTCTGAACATGACTATAAATACTCCCGTACCTTCCAACCCCAGGTAGATCCGTGTGTGACTTGAAAAAGCCCACTGTGTGGGTGAAACGTTGTCAATAAAGGATCACATTATACTGCATTTGTGTTTATATTTCCAAGATTCGAATATACTGATGCAGTGGTCAGAGAAGTGGTAGATGCAGTTTAATATAGACAAATACAAAGTTCTAAACATTGGACAAGAAAATAACCGTGCCACATATAAACTAAATAATGTAGATCTTAATATTACTGATTGCAAAAAGGATTTGGGAGTTCTGGTTAGCAGTAATCTAAAACCAAGACAACAGTGCATAAGTGCTTGCAATAGAGCGAACAGAATCTTTGGCTTCATATCAAGAAGGATAAATAATAGGAGTCCTCAAGTTGTTCTTCAACTCTGTACGTCTTTCGTTAGGCCTCATTTAGATTATGCTGCACATTTCTGGTCACTGTATTACAGAATGGATATAAATGCACTGGAAAACTTAGAAAGGAGGATGATAAAGTTGACCTCATGTATCAGAAATCTTCCCTATGAGGATAGACTGAGGGCTCTGAATCTACACTCTCTAGAAAGGCGTAGGATTAGGGGGATATGATTGAGGTGTATAAATGGAAAACCGGAATAAATAAAGAGAATGTAAATAGCGTGTTAAAAATATCTAGTCAAGACAGGACTCGCAGCAGTGGTTTTAAATTGGAAATATTCAGATTCAGGAAGGATATAGGAAAGCACTGGTTTGGTAATAGAGTTGTGGATTAGTGGAACAAACTCCCGAGTACCGTCACAGAAGCTAAAACGTTGTGTAGCTTTAAAAATAGGTTGGATAAATACGCGAGTGGGTGTGAGTTGGACCTGACTA